ATATATATATATATATATATGTATATGTATATAGATATATGTATGTAGAAGTAAATATGCATCCGTATATATATATATATATACATACATACATATATATATACATTCCTCTGCACTGACCACGATGTACAACTGCACAGCCCAGTAGCAACACTGCGGAAAGAAGTAGATAAAAGAGTAAATAAGAAATTGTTGTGTGGGTGTGGGTGTGGGTGTGTTTGATGTTATTATAAACTGCAGACATTAGAAGAAGCAAAAGCAACATGCGAGGAGCTGCTGCAGCTGCTGAGTTCTGAGTCAGAGGGCCGTCGTGCTTTTTGCTTTGGTTCAGAGTGCGAGTTGCTGCGCAGTCAAAGAGTGTTGTTAAATTTAGCTGCGCATACACTTGAATTTTTAGAGTTTGTCTTTTGGCAGTGCCGCGCCAGCTACTGTGCTGTTCTTGCTGCTGTACTACGGAGGCCTGAGTTTGATTTGCAAACAGTTCTCCCTTCAAAGCCAGACCCATGTGCTACGTTGACTTCCGCTGAGGTGTACGTACTCTATGTATTCATCAAGGAAGAGCATGCAGAGGCAGCAGCAGCTACTGCTGATGCTGCTGCTGCTAACCCTCCTGCTGCTGCTGATGCTGCTGCTGATGAAAATGCAGAAACAAAGCCAACAGCTGCAAATGCAGCGGCCAGCAGTACTGCAGATAACCCATCTGCTGCAGCAGCTCCTGGAGCTGCTGCAGCAAGCGAACGCAAAGCAAAACTCGGCTCGCAGCGCTCTATTGAAGTCGATCTCAACAACACCGCGACAAATGCCGGCAGCCCTAACAGCAGCAGCAGCAGAAGCAGCAGCAGCAGCGGCAGCAGCAGCGCCGGCAGCAGCAGTGGCAATGCGGACTATGGATGCGCTTCTAGGAAGGGAAGCGCCAGTCAGCAGCAGCAGGCTCCACCTTCGTGCCTTCTCCAGCAGGAACAGGAGCAGCAGCAGCAACTGCAGCAGCAACAGCAGCAGCAGGCCAGCGGGGGTCGTTTGTGTTTGAGCGTTAATTTGCTACCTCGACTGGGTGTTGGTGAACACGGGGAAGGAGCACGAGGGTATCTGGGGGCTGCAATAAAGAGGTTAAGGAATGCGAGCGTTGGGGAAGGGGCGCCGTCTGGAGACGGCGAATCAGCAGCAGCAGCGTTAGTGCGGGAGCTGCAGCAGCGGCAGGGGGTGTTGGAGGGTCTGCAGCACAAGAGCGAGCAAGAGCCTTGGAAGCAGAAGCTGCGTGCTTCTGTCTCACCGGAAAGAACGGAGGAGCTGAAGCAGCTCGCTCGATCTCTTACTCCCGAGACAAAGTTTGCTGCTGTGCTGTATCACAAGCGGCTTAAGCTCTGCAGACAGTTTCGTTCGCTGCTGCAGCGAGTGCTGGCAGCATCGCTGCGTATGTTGGGGGGCGAGGCCTCCTTCGGGGGCCAGCGGCGTGTGGCTTGTCTGCTGCTAGCTAGCTGCTACTTCCGTTTGCCTGAGTTTAGAGCTGAGCTGCTGAGGTGCGTGTTGCCGCCTGAAGGGCGTTCAGCAGCCGTAGAGGAATGGAGGGGTACGGAGTATAACTTAGATCTGCATGCTCTTGCTGCTGCTGAGAAGTGGTTAGCTGGCAGCCCCCTCCGTCTGCTGCTCCAGTGGGAAGCCTTTCATAGTGTATTACGAGATTACTTTGGGCGAGAGGCTTTGCAAGATGATGATGCAGCGCTGCAGAACAAACTGCTGCCGGAGCCCGACTGGCGCGAGGAGTTGAGTCCTTCAGGCAGTTCTTTTTTTACATTCTTGGAGCAGTTTGTTCGTTCTCTGCTGCTAACTGCAGCCCCGAGAGGCCCCCTTGAATGGAAAGACATACCCGGGTATCGAACGCTGCTGAAGCGGCTGCTGCTCGAGATGAAGAGTCGCAGTGTTACGAAGTACCCTGACTCGCTTGCAAACTGCACAGGAGCGGTGCTGGTGAACGAAAAGCTGCTGTCTGTCTTCGTCAAGATCGTACTCCTTAAAACGCATGCACACAATAGCCCCCAAGTGTTTGCTGCTCTCAGCTACCTCGACTTCTGGGCGCAGCTTATTGCCTCCCGCGGCCGCCAGCTACCCCCTAATTTTGACTTTGCATTTCTAAGGAAAGGACTGCAGCTGGTGATTGAGTCTGACTTGTACGCGAACGTCTCGAAGGGTCTTTGGTTTATTTACAGAAACCTCCCGATATTAAATGGAGAACAACTCAGCGATATCCTCAACGATTTGTGTCTACTGCAGCAGGGCTCTCGCCTCTTCCTACACTGGGCGTGGGTGGTGCGAAGGGCCTTCATGTGGCTGCTGCTATACAGACTCGTTGAGGGCATGCGAAGAGTTATAGGCAGAATCACAGGGCAAGAACCGTCTTTCCCCAGCGCACGCAATCACTACTACTACCTCCAGCACCAGCAGCAGCAGCAGCAGCAGCCGCAAGCTCGCCGTGTGGCACTGTCTACGGAAGAGGCCGTCGTGATCAGCGGCCATTCTGTCTTCGTCAGCTTCTTAAGAGCATTATCGCTCGAGGAGCTGCTGCCTCCCGCTGCAGTTAAAGCAGTGGAGGCCTTAGCAATGGGTGATTGTAATTACGCAGGCCCCCCAGCAGCACCAGCAGCACCAGCAGGAGCGGCTGCCGCTGCTGCCGCAGGGGCGGCACAGCATCAAAGTCAACAACAACTGCAGCAACAGCAGCAGCAGCTGCTGCAACAACAACAACAACAGCAGCAGCAGCAGTTTGAGGCCGATCTGAGTGCACCTGCAGTTCAGGTGTATAGGCGGCAGGCGGTGCTGGAGTTTAAGAGAGAAGTCGAACACTACAAAGCATGGGTGAGGGAGGGAGCCTCCTCTCTGCCCATGATGATAATACCCAGTGCTCCTCTTGACGCAAATACCGATGTGCCCTTAGAGGGCTGGCAGTGAGCAGCACCTGCAGCAGCGCCTGCAGTATTGGGTACAGCAGCACCTGCAGCAGCTCCTGGAGCATCATGTGCAGCAGCAGCAGCTGCTGCTGCTAATTCGAATGGAGCAGCGCGGAGAATAGCACCAGCAGCTGTGGCACCAGCTGCCGTAGTTTTGGCACCAGCAGTAGCTGTAGATTCAAATGCGGGAGCGCCTGCAGCAGCAGCACCCATAACGACACCAGGAGCTGCAACACTAGCAGCAACAGCAGCAGCAGCAGGATATTCTGCAAGTGTATTTTTTTTTCGCCGCAAGGCGAGCAGCTCGAAGATGGCGTTGGTCGCTGCTGCAAATCACTTGAGTAGAGGAATGAACAGAGGCGCTTTCCACATGCAACAAAACCCACTTAACAAGTCAAGATGCCCTAAACCCTAAACCCTGATACAGGGTTTCGCGCAAGCTTGCAGGGCGCGAATGGAGGTGTAGTTTTTTAGCTGGTGTTTGCACGAACGGACAGGCGTTGAAACACCATTGGCTTTGTCTCAACTCCGTCTTTTCGGTTAGCATGCATTGAGTTTGTCTGTTACTTGCTTCTGTGCATTTGTTTGGCTGTGCATACGTACTGCCATTTAGCCTCCTTACGCGTTATTATGATTATTGTCATTATTATTACTACTATTGGGGCTCATTTGCACTGTCGGAACATTTGTTTGTTTTTGCTTCTGTCAAGTCGACGATCTCCCTCTCTCCACTTAATAACTAGCATGTTCTTTCTGCACTGCCCCACCAATGAATAAGAATCAGGTTAGAGAGTATAGCATAGATTATAGTTTTATACTGCCCTTTATAATTTAGCATTTGGTTGTCGACCGTTTGCGGGTCAGCACCCGAGTGTTTAAAACATCGGCGTAAATTTAGGGTGTAGGTTTTAGGGTTGAGAGTTAACGGCTTAAGTAAAGGAAGAATTATATCGATATGATTCAAATGAACAACCCAAAGAAGGAACAGTCTTATTAGATTTACTAATAATGAGCTCAGTTAATTCGTGTACTATCCACCTCCAAGCAAAGGCACAGCGGGCAATGTGCAAGTGAAGATATGGATATGACTCATTAACTTCCATTTGGAAGATACTGCAATTCGTCAAAGTCTCAAATCTAAACTTGAATATGCATTCTCATCAAGTGTAAACCTGTAAACGTATCTCTATCCCAGCATTGATCCCGTATGTAAGCAGTTAAACAACACAACGGGGATTTCAAGAAAATGGCGATGACTCGCAATGCCCAATTCGCAGGGTCAAAGCCTCAGCTCCTAGGTTAGAGACGTGTATATATATATATATATAT